AGGCCAATTAGTAGCTTTGGAAATAATCTGGGTATGTGTTATAATCTGGGGATGGACTACTGTGGTAGCTGTGAGAATAAAAAGATCAAGTAGGAAAAAAAACATTAAAAAAGAAGAAATGTCAACTGACATTTCTGATTCATTGGTTGTAAATAGAGCAAAGTAGAAGTAACCAGAGTGTAATATGAAACCAAGGTTTCAAGTCTGAGGAAAAAAACAAGCAATGAAAAAGGTGACCCAAGTCCTGATTTTGGACCCACTGATTTCAACTGAGTCAGGTAACCAAGTAGAAATTGGAAGAGAAGTTAAAGTTGGAAAGAAAAACTTGCTAAAATCCTACCCTTCTCCATCATTAAATCAGAACTCTCAACTGTGTTTAACTAATGTATCAGAATTACAACTTTAATCTTGTCCATAGGTTTCTATAGCATTATTTGAAACTAGCCAAATTTTTATTCAAAATCAATGAGAAATGGTCTTAAAATACATTTTCATTGCAAAAACAGTTATTTGCATTCAAGTAAAAGTAATAAAAAATGTGAATAGTCATCTTCTGTGACAAATAAGTTGAGGCAGGGGGACTCTCACAGAAAGTTTTATCTATACTCACTTCTCCCTCTCAAGATAAAGCCGGTCCCGGACTGTCTAGATGGATTTTCTGCATCATTTCACGTACTTACTTTTCTCAGAAATAGTCACCGAAAAAACATACCCCCTGATGCTTATCTTCAAGTTTTACCCGAAGCAAATTTTTACAGCCAATTTTAAAATTCCTAAAATCAAATGGAAATACTAATATGACCATGAATGGAAACCCTAATCTGATAGATTCAAGTATTTTTTAAGAGTCAGCTTTAGGACATAATTTACACAAACATCTACTGGCCTTAAGTTATTATTCCTAACAGTTAACCCAAATTCATATTATCTACATTTAAAAGTGTATTATTTCCCTTCTTACGGAGTTAATCAGTCTTTAACATGCTTTTCAGGAAGGATTCTTATTTTAAGAAATTACATGTTGATTTAGTTATCTGACACACAAATGCTGGTGGGTTTTAAGATACGTTCCCCGTTTGATCCAAGATTTATTTGCTTATATTCCATTCCCCAAAATTTATCCTAACAAAGGGACCAAGAGAATTGTGTAATAGAACACCAGAAATGACTGCCTGTATCTAGTTAAGGAGAGTAGCTGATTAGCTTTGAGCAAAGGCACACTAATAATGTCTGGCCCGGACCCCTTTGAACCAGGCTGTTTTGTACTTGGTCAATTGTGTAGAGTGAATGTTCCACATCGCCAAAATAATTCATTAATAAGGAACCAAGATATATCTCAATATAAAATATCAGCAAGGATTCCAAACAAAATCCACTTAATTTTTTAAACATTACTTAATCTAATTAACTTTATTTGAAGGTTTGTTCCTCTTCAGGTCACAGAGAAGCAACTTAACTCATAAGCTGTGTCATTCTATAGAGCCACTGAGACATCAGAGATCTGTGTGACTGTCACATTACAAAGCTATTGAATCATGATCCCTATTATTTTCCCATGATATACTTCTGATGTGTTTTTAATGTGCTCAATATATGAGAAAACTCCCCCACAAGATTTATAAAGGCACCCAAATCTACTCAACAGATACTGTTCATGTGAACATTTTATAAATCCTGTAAGGGTTTTCCAAAGTGCTCATCTGGTTGAAATGCAAAGCCTAGTCTTGAATAACTACATGCCTTTCGGGGGAACACTGAAGGCAGCCTTTGGAAGCATCCTTAGAAACAGTAAGGTAAATATGCCACCTGGAACTAATTGATTAAATTCACTAGTTAACTTGCTTTCAAAATGTACAATCTCTGGGAACTGATTATTACTCATCCTTTTCTTAGGTTTGCTTTACTTCAGCATGGTCAACATTGCCCTAAAATGTCAACTAAGAATACAGAAGTAGAAATGAAGGAGAAAAAAATGTATGTGCTTTAGGTTATCTGCCCTAGATTACTTTTTCTTTATTATAAAGAACTCATTTGATAATTTCTTTTGAGAAGCACAGAAATACGGATGGCAAGGGCTCCTTTAAATTATCTCTTAGATAAATATATATCTGTGGGCAATATTGAAGAGGCTTTTCTTACAACAGAGCACCAACTTTGAGCTGTGAAATATGAGAAAGTATTCAAGATCAGCCAATAAAGCTCCTCCTGACTCCTTCCCAAGCATTACAGAGCTCAAATTTATTTTATATGCAAGTTAATGGTGAGCAGGAAACAAACATATTTAAAGCACATCCTATGAAAAGAAAGTTTTACAAAGAACTATCACCACATGCAAAAAGAGTTTTGTATAACAAAGCTACTTCCATGTCCCCAGGGGGTGACCCAGAAAAAAAGTGTGCTTTGACCTGATTATAACAAAGTCTCTCTCTCTTGGTAACCTATCCTGGTCTTTAACAAATTATCCCTCTCAAAGGTTTTCCTTCTATCATATCTAAATCCTCACTGTTAGAAGTTCAAGTTCATTTCCTTTTTCTGAGGAACCACTTACTGAAGATGAGTCAAGAAGAAAAAATTAATAAGAGTTTCAAAATAAATAACAAAAGTAGGTTTACTATGAGACTTTTGAAAAATAGCTCTGGTATGAAAGGTTTAAAAATAACAAGTTTTATTGGGATAAGAGATGCTTCTCTTTCTTATCTAAACAACAAGCCAATCTCCATTTAAAACTGAAACAAAGCACTCTCACTATTTGGAGCCTCTGGTAAAGAAGGAAATTATTTAGTACTTAGATCTAAGGTACTAAAGTGTCATGAAAAGTTGTATTTGTACTGTCCTTCTGGAAAAGCCCAATTCAGCCACCTGAAAAACTTGCAAAACAAACTCATATAAATTCCAAGCTATTTATCTGAAATCATGAATCAGGCCCAGCTCTCACTTTATTTGGTTTGTCTAAACTTCACTGTGACCTCATCAGTGACCTACAATAGTCCCCTGTGATAGAGTAGGCCACAGGTGCTTCCATTAAGAGCTTAAAACTGAGGACTCAAAGCTCAAAAGAAATCCACAGTTCCAAGGACTTTTCAAAGACAATGAGAAAGCCCTGAATTTATTGATTATGTGTTCTTCTAATATCTCTTAAAGCTTCCTTCATGCAATTCTACGCTCACTTTTAACCCGTTTCCTATTTCTTTCCATTTCTGGTCTATCCCACCCATAGCTTCTTAAGAGAGAGTATTTTATGATTCCTGATCCCTCCCTACCTCTTTTTTTTTAGACAGCAGGCTTCTAGTCAATTTCACTGACATGTTCTTAATAGTACACAGGCTGTGGAGTGGCAAAAATGTAGAGTGACATTGAAAGTACATACCCTACACTCTATAGGGTACAGTTTTGTGTGAATTATTCTTATCTTAAGCAAACTGGCACCCCATGTAGTAAAGATCAGTAAAGATGTGTAAAAACACCATGAGAGAATTGTCTCCAGAAGAGCTTGGTCACTTTAGGAACACAGATTTCTTCTGACACACAACACATTCACGTGCATTAGTTTCAATACTTTCATAGAAATTATATCATGTGAACTAAGGTTAGAAAGATATATCTATGGATAGAGCTTATCATCAAATGAAGCCACCTCTACATTCTTTTGCCGGAAGTACAAAAACATTATAAAAGAAATATATTAGAAAGATGCTCACAATATGTACCAAATAGAACCCAATACTCAAGCTATATCTGAAAATTAATGCAAGTTATTTGCAAAGGTATACTCAAGTGCTTAATGTTAAAAAAAAAAAAAAAAAGCGCTCATCAGTCTTTAAAAAAGTAGAAAGGCCTTAGAGCTGATCAATACAATGAATAACAAATACTCCAGTACTTAAACAAATAGTTCATTAAGTCTTTTCACACAAAGGTATCACACATAGTCTATCAGAAATACTTAATTTTATTGGTACAACTCCTGAAAATAAATATGAATGTTCTACAAATATCATTCGTTTTATACTATAATGCTGTGTTTTAAAAATAAAGTCTTGCTTCTCAAATCAAATTTTCATAACCTTAGTAATAGAAGCCTTAAAATCCTTTTGTGAGGTTTGTTGGTGTGCCAGTGTAGGGCATGAAAGGGGATTCAACAATCAACTACAGAGACAGTGAGCTTTTATCAAGACATCCTATCAGTGCTCAGCCTGATGTGCTATTGGAGAGAGCAATTGAGTGTTTTCCCCACAGGCTGTAACTGATTATTGACTCCCCCCATTAGCATGTGGGGTACATATTGAAGGTTCAAATAGAAGGCTGAGGGACTCCTGTCCCAAGGCCAGTGGTGAAAGACAGCCTATCACTTCGTGTAACTGCAGTCCATGTGTGACAAACCTGACCTACATTTCTCCCTTTCTTTCTCACAACAGCTTGTCACTGTTTTAACAAGCTATTTTCTAAAAAGCATAAAAGAAATGACTTTTAAAACTGCTTGGTAACGTGCATTCCTGAAATATCATTCATAACAATCTCATAAGAAATAGATTATTCTGGAGATAATCATGAAATGTAGCCTAAAACAAGCTTAAAGACAGGAGAGTGCTTTATGTTATAATCCTATACAGTATCTACATTTACATAGTCATTTATACAGTAGACAGTCTTAAAAGTACAATTAAAATTTTAAAATGTACATAATTTAATTTAACAAAAAGAAGTTTTTAAACATATAAAGTATATTAATTAGGAATGTATAATTAAACATTTTTCAGTAGTTATAAAAAGTAGCTTTCAAGGCTTCACAAGAAGCCACATCCTAATAGTTTTGTTAACTTCTCAATGGATACACAATAATCACTACTAAGAATAGGGCATAATTAAAAACAGTGATGGAGGGGAGGAATAAAGGCGGCAATAATAACTTGGTGCAAATGCTGGGAAAAGCTCCCCAGGAATGGCTGCAGATTGTGCTTCAAAGAGTTGCTGACATGCTGTGGCTCCCCACCTCAAGTACCTACCATGCCGCTGGAGGTCATACTCCTTTTTCGTTTCTTCATTCCCTAGAATTTTCCATGCCTGATCAATTTCGATGAACTTCTGTATACATTTCTCCACTGTTCCTGCTGGTACGTCTGTACTTTGTTTATCTGGATGATACTGCCAATCAAAAATAAGGGCGGTGGTGAATAGAGAGAGTTGAATGGGGGTAAGTAAAAAAAAAAAATTAAAAATCTGAGCTTTAGTTAAGAGAGAAGGTAATGAGAAGATGAAACCTAAGATGCCAAGGCAATGACACAACAGTGTTGGACACAGGAGACAACTGCCAGGTTAATTAGACCAATGGAGTAGCTATACATTCACCAGTGACATGATCTGTCACAACGTGCAAAGACAGTATTTTCTGGATAATTTGCTCATGGAATCACTGGCCTCATGGACAATTTACCTAGAGAGGATGACTAACACAAATAGAAATAAGTACATGCAGACAAGCAGGACATGAAAAGGAAGAGCACAAACTATGCAGAGTATGAAGCTTTCCTTACATAATGTGCCTGGTTGGAGATATCATTACAAAATGGACCACTAGGGTTTTTCTTAGAGATTAGATTATACAATCATTTAAAATAAAAATTTATCTAATTATAAATATAAAAATATTTCATCTTCCTCCCCAGCCCTGAAGATTCTAAAGTTATAAATTCCCAAACATAAATTTTTATTGAAAACTGGTTATTCTAGGCCAGATTTGTAAGAAACAACTTTAAAGAACTCAAAATATTTGAAAATAATTTAATTCACTAAAGAATCTTTCTTATGTGAGTTTTCTAAATCTAACACATTTTTAAGCATGTTTTCAATATGCAGCAATTTCTTTATACTATTTGGTCAAAATCAGAAAGTTTTATGACAATTCACCAATTCTCAAATGCTAATGTAAATGTAGTTTATGAATAGGAATCTACTAAGTATCAATTCGATTATCTCCTTCCTTCCTTTTCTTCTATGTTCTCTGTGGTTCTCCCTGTCCTTTTCATCTAACAGTTCTGAAAGAATCAATACATCATTTTCTTTTCAGCAGTCTCTGAACAAACAAATGAGGAAAGATTATCTACATTTAGAGACATTTCATTCAAATAATCTGTGGGTAACAGTAGCATATATTCAGATATGTACTTTTTTACTCTCAAGTAAATAAGGAACCACTTTAGTATTTACACAGAATTTTCAACCAGTAATGACTCTGAAAGTTTTATCTAACATAGAATACATTTTAATTTTGAAAGTAAACTTAGGAAACTCCTTTGAACATAGAATAGTTTTTCTTTTTCTTTCTTACTCTTTTCTTCCAAGTTTTTACAATAAAACAGGCAAATATCCATATTCACATTGCATGACACATCAATGCGGTTGGTTCACATACTCATCAATTAATGGTACAATCATTTCAATTCTTTCATTGACTGCTTTACATACATTAAAAAAGCACAAAAGATTTTAAGTACCATGTCATTTATTATCTAAGTTGCTAAGGCCAAAGTCACTCAGTAAGTTGTGGCAAGTACCAAGAAGCCAAATGACTTCAATTCTCAATACAGAATTGGGAAAATATGTAAGTTTTTAATTATATTATAAACTGTTGCCTTCAACAGTGGATTCATTTTCATGATGAACTTCACACTGCTGAAGATCTCCCTAGCAAGGCAAAAACTATCCTGATGTATTGGTTACACAGAACTAGTAAGCATCATACATGCTGGGAGAAAGATTATAGGGCAAACAATGAGAATTAGGCTTCCACTTTCCCTTTGGCAAGCTACCTCTCTTCCTATGCCAAATCTATCAGTTACCAACATTTAGATATTTAAACTAATTAACATAATGACTGAAGAAAAGAAAACTAAGGCTTATTGTTTCTTCTTCTTTGGCCATGATTTATCAAATGATGCTCATAAAAGCTATTCCTATACTGAGGTTTTAGCAATCTCTAAAAGGGATATTCAAGCAATATCCCAAAGCCAAAATGGAGTTGGCTGCATTAAAGTTCTCTAGCTGACCCATCCCTCTGACAATTATTGAAGATTTGTATAACAAGCTTGGTATGATTCAATGTTATTATATTATATGTAACATATTCAAATATGCCAGCATATATTTAAAATACATTTACATGTTAACTCTTAATCTCTATATGTCACAAGCATTAAGTAAGATCCTGGAGAAATCATCCTAAACTTCTAGCTATAAAGTAGGAGTAAAGACTAAAAGATAGGTGATTTCTAATAGGCCACTATAGAAAGTCTACCTGGTACAATGAATGGAACAGGTTAGGCCTGATCATGCACCAACCTGACCAAGAAAGCCCTAAAAAACCAGGAATTAGTTCCTGGCTGCCCCAAACAAAAACTGTCCCTAAATTTTATTATGAGTCACATATCAGATCTATGACAGTCAAAGTACAATTCAACCTCTTTCCCTAATTTGGTATTTTCCTGATTACTATTTGAAATAAGTAGCTTATCATCTGAGGCTTTTTAAGTTATTCTATTGTGCTACTAGAATTCAATAAAATTCCATAACATCTATTTAATGGGTACATTCCATTAAAAAAAATGGCAATTATAGAAAGAAACTCCAGAACCATGAAAGAATAAATTTCCCTTGTTTTAAACCACCAAATTTGCAGTAGTTTGTTTTCACAGCCATAAGTAATTAAAATATGTCTATGGTTTAAAACTGTAATACAACGGACAGTAAAACTTTTTAAGAAGTTTCAATTACAAGAGCTATTAATAAAGTGGTGTCAATATTATACACATTCTCAACTTTAAAATATGAAATTATTGTCTAATGCCAATGGAAAAACAAGCCCTAATCCTACGTTTCCAGATCTTCTAATCCCAAAGTGAATGTTGATTTTTTTCTTACTATTTCTAAATCTGAGACTTCTTGTGGGAGGAAGGCTCAATCATTCATTAATCACCCTAAAGACCAAAGTCATTTTTTCTCTTGTTGCAAAAGTTTATTTTATTCCTTGCTTTTAATTTCCTTTAATGGCCATTAGCCAAACCTTCCCACTCTTGAGAGCCCAAAGCTATTCCCACTTCATTCATTCACTTATCAAATGAAAGACAGATGTAATCTAAAGCATTCTGTATTCGAAGGGTTTACTATTAATATCTAATTGAGGAACCAGGAACAACCGTTTAAAAATATAGCATGGCCTTCCTTGTAGCCACAGAAAAACACCAGCTGAATCTCACAAACAGGGAGTTCTGAGGACATTTACCAATCAAATAGAAAAAAATACTGATATCCCTTAGTCAACAGAATAGGTATGTTCTAAAATTAATGTTGCAATGTTTATTTATTTGAACTGACTTCCACTTTCTTTCAGAATAAATTGAAATGCATTTTGCTGGAGTTGGAAGAACTTAGTCTCTTGGAAGCAATGAACTCAAAATTAAGGAAACAGCAAATCTTGTGACAATTAGAAAATAAAATTGTAAGACGTTACCATTGACAATAGTATAAAAAAAGAAATATTAATACTTCAGAATAAGCCCAATAGAAGATATGTAAGACTTCACTGAAAACTAAAAAACCCTACTAAAAGAAATCAAAGACCTAAACAAATGGAAAAATAACTTTTTCGTGGATGGGAAGATTCATGTCCATTTTCCCTAAACTGATACATTAATGCAATTCCTATCAAAAGCCCAACAGTAATCAAGACTGTAGTACTGGAATAAAGATATACAAATAGAGCAACGGAACATGTATGGTCAATTGACTTTCAACAAAGGGGACAAAGCAACTCAATGAGGAAAGGAAAGTGTTTATATAACAAATGGTTTTGAAACAACTGGATATCTATGTGGAAAAAAAAAAATAAGCTCTATCCTTATTTCATTCCATACATAAAAATTAATTTAGGATGAATAATTATAGACATAAATATAAAACACAGAACCATAAAGCTTTTAGAAGAAAACACAAGAAAATACCTTTGCCCCTTACAGTAGGCACAGATTGTTTTGATAAAAAAAAGTATAACCTAAATGATACAAAATTGATAAAATGAACATCACCAAAATTTAAAACTTTCTATTCAAAGACACCACTAAGAAAATGAATAAACAAGCCACAGACTAGGGAAAACATCAGCTGTATATATCTCTAACAAAGACTTGTATCCAGAATATATACACACAAAAAAATCCTATCAATTGATAAAAACAGAAACTAAAAATCAGAGGAAAAACTGGAACAAACTCTTTTCCAAAAAAAACTGATGAACAATGTGTACATGAATCTATGCTCAAGCTTTTTTATGAGTCATTAAGAAAATGCAAATTAAAATCACAATGAGATATTACTACACATCTAATAGACCGGCTAAAATAAAAAGCCTTAGAACACTAAATTTTGGTGAGAACATATAATAACTCTCATATACTTCTGGCAGGAAACTATTTGGTAGTTGCTTATAAAGTTACACATACATCTATTCCATAATTAAGAAATTCCATTCCTGAATATCTACCTAAGAGAAATAAAACATAAAAGGTCTATCAACAGGAGAATGGATAAATAAATTGTATTAAACCCATATAAAGGACTACTACTCAACAACAAAAAAGAAAAAACTATGATATACTCAATAACACGAATGAATATCTAAAACATTCTTTTAAGCAAAAGAAGAACAAAAAGAGCACATAGTGTATGACTACATTGATATGAAATCCAAACTGAGGCAAATCTAACCTACAGTGGTAGAAATCAAAATTAGTTTCTAGGTGAGAAAGGGGATTGGGAATTAAGGAAGTGGGCACAAGGGAACTTTCTGGAGGAATGAAAATGTTCTGTATCTTGTTTGGGATGGTGGTTACATGGTATCAAAATTTACTAAACTGAACACTTAAGATCTGTGCATTTTTCATGATATGTTGACCATATCTCAATAGAAATACACTTTCAGACATTTTTAAATTTAAAAAAGGGAATTTAGCAAGTCTTTCTAAGCCTTAAGGAAAAATGAGAAATTTCTTCCAGTATTAATAGAGAGAAAAGTACAACAAAGACACAGAAAGTTAATGAAAAAACTAGTATGAATTAGCAAAAAGTTTGAATTGACTAGTTTATGGAAATAT